GTATAACCCGGACCCCTCTCACTTCTTGGCCTACGAGTCTCTTTCACTCTAAGAGGATCTTTCCTACGAGGAAGTACCGGTCGATATTATGGACTGAAAGTCCAGATTACTCTGCAACCAGGAAATTCTCTTTGTCAATGTCCTATTGTAGAATCACACACCGAAAGAAGCCACGTGAGAACTAGAATCAGACTTCAGAGCCCAACACCCTCCAACTATTTAATTGAGTGAAAGAGAGATAAATTTGAGGGACCAAATTTTTTTTAAGAATGGGGGGAGAGTTGTAATACCCAAATTAATTTAATTACAATTTAAATTAATTTATAAATATAATTTTTGAATTTTTTGAATTTTAATTTAATGAAAAAATGAAGGAAAATAGGAGGGGGATGAAATTGAAAATAATTTTAGGAAAAATGGGTAAAAATTTGGATTCTATGGGTATTTTTGAAAACAAAAACAAAAACTTGAAGTCAAAACGTAATATAGAAAAGTTGTGCTACGTAGGATACCCAATCAGCAGCCCCGACAAACCAAAATGCGCCGCGTGGCAAAGGACGCTAATGCGGTGCCACACGGGCGATCTACGTGCCTACGATCGGATGGTTCAGATCCGCTCCTGTGCGCATGGACGGCTCATATTGGTGCACTACCCAAACGCGATCAAATGGTCATAATTAAATGAGATCAACAGTCCAGATCTACTTCTTATTTAATCGTGATCGGATGGCCCAGATTAAATACGATGAACAGCCCATATTAAAAGGGGACGGGTGTAAATAACCCTCTTCACACCAAACCCTAACCCTAGCCACTGGATACCTCACCGGAGAAAAAGACCCAGCCCTTGGGAAGGAGAGCCGCCACCACCCGTCGTCGCGCCAGAACCACTTCCGACTACCAAAAGAGGTAAAAATTTTCTCCTATGCTTGGAATTCAATTTTAAACACCCCCATGGCCAAATTGGAGCCAAAAAACCGACAGATTAGCCGAAAGCCGCAGGTAAAGCCCGGCGCTGCCGCCGCGAGAAATTTTAAAAACTGCCTCCGATGAGGCCCTTCCCGATTCCCGTTCTGCAAAATTTTTCCACCATTGTAATCACCTTTTTCTTCTTTACATGTTGACCGAAGCAAATACCCAACCGCAAAAGTGAGTTGGCAGAGTCGCCGCATCAGAGAGCCCAGCTGCTGGTGAGTTTCAATTTTTTTTTTTGCCAACCGAGCCCCCTTAACGTATTTTCTCATAGGGATTGATGCAAAACCAATTGAAAATAGCCAACCTGAGCCCGACCGCCGCCGGAGCACAGAATTCTAAAATTAGCCAAAAAGGGGTCCTCACACTGTTTTTGGGTTTTTTGGGATATCTGTAGCTACTTGTAGTGTGTTTTAATCCCTGAAGAAAAATTCAGAGAATTCAGGAATCGGCGGTAGGCGCAGTCAATAAGTTTCACTTTTCGGGCATCGAATTGAATGAGAATCCCTCACCATATTCTCTGTTATGGAACTGAAGTTAAATTAATAATAATACAGTGTTTTGTACAATTTAGGAAATATCCATAATTAAATATGAGTTACTAATGGAGCTAGAACCGAAAATTATTTACTGTTGCTTCTGTTGATTGTTTTTAAAGTATGAATGCATGAGAGTATCTGATTGATCGATTTTGTAGTTTTGAATGTATGCATTGTTTGTTTTATGGGTTTACAGTTGAATTGGGAAAAATAGAGATTAAAGAAAAACGAAAAATTGTGTGATTAAGTGAAAGGATAAAACGGCAGCCTTACTGGATATCTTGGGAGATGGTGGATGGACCAGGTACATAAGAAACCCTACCGTGAACGTTGCCTCATACCGGATGGGGTATCGAGATTTGATAATTTGGCACTTATACCGGACGGAGTATGGAGACGACTCGTTTTACACTCATACCGGACGAGGTATTGAGGTTTAGTAGTTTGGTGCTCATACCAGACAGAGTATGGGGACGACCCGTTAATTTGAAATATTAAAGGAAATGGTTCACGTGTTGTATGTCCATCCCTATGAACCCCCATGGATACTAGTAAGTTGATAAAGGATAGAATTATTGTTTAAATCGTTTACATATAAAATCATGATCTAAGTTATGTCATTGTCTCTATAAGTTGTTTATAAATCTCACTACAGTAAGTAGATGGTAAAAGATTTTGTTTATGATAACTGAATTTGTTTAATTAAGAGCTCTATTAATTGTTTTAATTTTTCTACCAACCTTCATTTCTATGTCAGTGAGTAGCGTGATATTCTTACTGGGCTAGTGTAGCTCATTCTTTATTTAACCATTTCATATCAAGAGAACTAGGATCCAGAGTCCGATCCATAAGAGGGTTACGAGTAGAGGATACCAGTTTTATTTATTTTACATTTATTTCCTTATTTTCTTCGTATTTCCTTCAAATGGTAATTTTCGTAGTACTATTTGAGACTTTAAGTTTTTGTGTAAAGAATGTAAACCTTAATTATTTATTTTACCTCCGCACTAAATTCATAATTTATTTCTTTTAGAATTTATGAGGTCGTTACACTTAATGCCTTATCCGGCATGAGGGTGAAACAGGCCGTCTTCATACCCCGTCTGGTATGAGTGCCAAAATACTAATCTTTGATACCCCGTCCGGTATGAGGCAACGTTCACGGTAGGGTTTCCTATGTACCCGGTTTGTCCACCATCTCCTAGGATATCCAGTAAGGCTACTGTTCATCCATTTACTTAATCAAATAATTTTTCGTTTACCTTTAATATCTAATTTTTCACTTTAACCGTAATTACATGAAACAAGCAATACATGCATCAAGGAAACACAATCGCATTATCATATAAATTTCAGTGTATTATCATGCATTCGAAAACTATAAAATCAACCAATCAGCTAAACAGGGAAAACAGTAATAAATAATCAGTTCCGGCTCCATTAGTGACCTGTAATTAATTGTAGATATTTTTTAAACTATTCAAAATACTGTATTATTATTAATTAAACTTCAATTCCATAATAAGGAATAAGGTGAGGGATTCTTACACAAATTAATGTCCGAGATGCTAAACTTTCAGTCGTACCTACAGATGGGTCCCCGAGATTCCTTGAATTTTTATTTAGGGATTAAAACATATTTCAAGTACCTAGAAATATTCTAAAAAACCCAAAATCAATCTTAGAAACTCTTTTTGGCCAATTTTGGAATTTTGACACGGCAGCTCCACCGTGATTTGGCGACGGCATTGCCGCCTACAACGGTGGTTTACCTCGAGTTGGCCGTTTTCGGCCAATTTTGTACCCATCCCTGCGAGAAAACACGTTAAAAGATCTCGAATGGCTGAAAAAAGTCAAAAAATCAAAGCTTACCGGCAGTAGAGTTTTCCAGTGCGGCGGCTCTGCTGGCTCACCTTCGCGGTTGGGTGTTTTACTTTAGTCAACCTGTAGAGAAAAGAATGGTGATTACAGTGGTAGAAAAATTACACGAAATGGAAATCAGGAAGGGCCTCATCAGAAGTAATTTTTGCTTTTTTTCGCGGTGGTGCTGCCGGGCTTTGGCCCGCAGTTTTCGGCTCATCCGCTGGTTCTTTTGCTCCGATTTGGCTATGGGGGTGTTAAAAATTGAATTTCAAGCGAATGAGAAAAAATTTACCTTTTTTGGCAGTCGAAAGTGGCTCCGGCACTACGGCAAACGACGGTCGACTCCCTTCCCGGCGACTGGCTCTTCTTCTCTGGCGGTGGGGTCTGACGGCTAGGGTTAGGGTTTGGTGTGAAGAGAGTTATTTATATTCATCTTCTTTTAATCTGTACCGTTCATCACGTTTGATCTTGACCGTCCGATTGCGTTTAAATAGGAAGTGAATATGGATCATTCATCACGATTTAATCTGGACCGTCCGATCGCGTTTAAATAGGAAGTGGATGTGGACCGTCGATCGTGTTTAAATAGAAAGTGAATCAGGATCATTCATCGTGATTTGATCTGGACTGTCTGATCGCGTTTTAAAAAGTGAACAAATCCGGACTGTCCATGCGCACGGGAACAAATTCGGACCGTACAATTGTGAACACGCGAATCGTCAACGTGGCTTCTCGCGTGGCACCGCGTCAACTTGCCTTGCCAAACGGCGGGCTCCGATTTGTCGGAGCTGTTGACTGGGTGTCCTATGTATCACAATTTTCTTAAATTATATTTTGACCATCAATTTCTGATTTTTCTTTCAAAAACACCCACATAATTCAAAATTTCATCTATTTTTTTCAAAATTATTTTCAATTTCATCATGCTCTTATTTTTTTTCATTTTTATATTAATAAAAATTTTAAAAATTAAAAAAATTAAAAATTTATATTTACACAATTAATTTTAATTATATTAAAATAAATTAAGGGTATTACAATTTTATTTTAATTTTTTTTATTTAATACAGACTTAACATTAATATCAAATTTAATATAAAAAAATAGATTGAATAAAATATAAATTTGATAATGAAAATAAATACTATTAAATATTTAAATAATAAAAATAAATAAAAAACAATTATTTAATCTAAATATTAATTAATAATTAAAAAATAAAATTTAAAATATTATTAATCACAAATATAAAATTTTCTATCAATAATGGTTTGGAGAAGCTAATGCTTGCAAACTATTATTACGCACTTGCAACGGTAAAACTAAAAAAAAATTCACTCTCTTTACAAAAAGGCAAAAAGAATTAAATATTTATATTTTCGAAAATTTTAAATGAAAAAGGGCAGGACAGGAAAAGAAAATGATGTGAACGAAGCATAGGATTCCAGATATTTGTCAGAAAGAAACTCCCCCCTTCATCTTCAACCTTCTGCTCGCCAACTTCTGTCTTTCCATGGCTTCTTGATAACTTCTAAAATTGACCGCATATAGACAAAACCCAACCACTTTTCACTTTCTCCAACTCCACCTCTTTCCCCCCAAAACTACACAAACCCAAAACAACTCATGGCCGAACCACAACACCCTCCGCCACCTGCGGAGGCTCCGGCAGCGCCGTCGCCGCCTTCTTCCGCTGCCGAAAATGCTTCCCCTGCACCGGACAAGGAAGACCCACCAGCACAGCCAACATTAACTGAACAGACTCCGCCTCCTCCTCTTGATCCTCTTCCTTCTGATGAACCTCCGGAAATTCCAGAAAAGGAAGAGCAACAGCCGCCGGAAACGGAACCTGAGAAGACCTTGACGTTGGAGAAAGAACCGGAGCAGGTGACCGCGGAGTCTAGATCGCTTGCGGCGATGATGGAGAAAGAGGAGCTTCCGCCGCCGCAGCAGGAAGTAAGTGAGAAAACAGTGGCGGTTAACGCCGACGAGGAGGTTTCCGGCGACGTGAAAGATAAAAGTAGGGCTCCTCAGAGCTTGGTTTCCTTCAAGGAGGAGAGCAATAACGTGGCTGATCTCTCTGAGTTCGAGAAGAAAGCTTTATTAGAATTCAAGCAGCTTGTTCAGGAAGCTCTAAACACTCGTTAATTCAGCTCTCCGCCACCTCCAAAAGAATCTACCATGGCGACTGAACCAAAAACCGAAGCAGTATCCTCCGCTGAGTCCGATGCTAGCACCACCATAAACCCACCTCAAGAACCAGCAGTTCCTGAAAACCCACAAGAGAAATCTTAAGAAGAAGTGAAGCTGGAGACTCACTCGCCGGAGGAATTCTCCACTTGGGGAATTCCTCTTCTGAAAGACGACCGGAGCGATGTCATTCTGCTGAAATTCCTCAGAGCCAGGGATTTCAAACCCAAGGACGCTTTTATCATGATCAAGAACACAATTCAATGGAGAAAAGACTTCGGCATCGAGGAGCTTGTCGACGAAGATCTCGGCGATGACCTGGACAAAGTTGTGTTTATGCACGGACATGACAAGGACGGGCATCCAGTTTGTTACAACGTTTATGGAGAGTTTCAGAACAAGGAGTTGTATCAGAAGACATTTTCAGATGAAGAGAAGAGGATGAAGTTTTTGAGATGGCGGATTCAATTCTTGGAAAGGAGTATAAGGAAACTTGATTTTAGTCCTGGTGGTGTTTGTACTATTTTTCAGGTTAATGATCTGAAGAATTCCCCTGGACCTGGAAAAAGAGAGCTTAGATTGGCAACTAAACAGGCTCTGCACATTCTTCAGGACAATTACCCTGAGTTTGTGGCCAAACAGGTAATAATTAGAGTGATAATCAAATTAATTGCTGATTAAATTTGAATTAACTAGGATTTAATCTTTTGAAATCAAGAAAACTCATAAAATTTATTTATCGCATCAATAAATTGGATGAACATACAGGTCACCAAGAGTGTCATCTAATAAATGGATCACAACTCTTACAATGTATAAAAATTTGATCATGAAATTCAATGGTTTGTCCGTGGATGCATAATTACCATATAGTTAATTCATTTCATTTATTATATTTTAGATTAATTCAAGATGTGACTTGTACCAACTATTATTTAACTGAATAGTTGGTATATTTCTTCCTATATGAGAGATTGTACTTCCCTGTATGTTTTTAATTAAATGTTATTTATATTGTTTTAAATTTGATGTATATATATATTAGTTAATTAACCAACACAGGTATTTATTCAAAAATAGAAACTCATAATTGTCAACGTAAAAACTTAACTCGCATAAATATGACATAATTGAAGGTTTTCCCAAAGATGATTCATGTTCTTATCGAAGCACGATTATGTGACTTTAATATCTTTTTTTTTGTATATTTAGACGTTACTTTTGTCTTGAGTTAATGAGTTAAAAGTAAATTACTTAAAATATTTTCTCCTATTACAACTCTGAGAATAGTTGGTCGATTTCAACTTGAAAATAAAAATAAATGCATAGATAAAAAAATTATATTATTGTTATACTCTTTGAAAGTACCGCAACACTGCAATGAAAAGGAACATGATGAAAACCCAAATGCTAAGGCACCAGATATCTAACATAAATAAAATAAAACAAACGGCAAGCATCGTGTTTACAACTCTTTTTAATTTCATCCTTCCAAGACTTAATCAAGAAATGTACTTAGTAGAATCTTTTTTTTCCCATTTCCTTGAATATATATATTGGGATTATCCTTGAACACGTTAGGTATCGCGTTTGAGTCGTTCAATACATGAGGCATCATGTTTAATTTGTTCTGAATTATAATCGTCTCATCTTCTTTAGTAACTTTCTTCTTCAATTCCTTAAGAGATGTCTTTAAATGCTCAAGTTGTGAGAAACTCATTTCCTTTTTCGGACCCATCCACCAACACTTACTCTCACTTTTTTTTTTGTATTTCCTTAAGCTCTGCATTGCGATTTTTCTCGATTTTCAATTGATTGATAACCTATTTTTAATCCAACAAAAATAAGATCAAATAAGTATATTAAGTTTTAAAATCTACATATGGTCTACTCAAACCTGTGTGAGGATCATATTGAGCTCATGTATCCTTGAGTTGCGGTGAGTCTCAATGAGCGTCATGGCTCCTGAAGTATCTCGTGGAGGATTACCACAAATGAAATCTTCAATCACTTTTTCAACACAAGGATGACCAAAAGAAAAAGCCTTCTTACTAGGGGAAAAAACAATCATCGCAATATCAACGTCACAAAGAGTGGACAATTCACTAGCTTTCTTAAAAAGACCAGCTCTTCGTTTTGAGAAAGTTACTTGGAGGTTGGTTTCGTTACTCATCTTCACCATCTCAATCTTTTGATGGCCCTTGCCCTTCCTATCCATTGCTAAAAGTGAAAGAAAAAGACGATGTGAAGAAAAGATAAAAAAGTTGGTTTATAATTTACTAGGAACTGATAGAAAATGTGTAGTGTTTATAAGAGTCGTCGGACTGACATTATTATTTTGCGCTATGCAACATCAAACTTTATTTAAATGGATTTTCTATATAAATTTTTTAATCTTTAATTTCTTACTCATTTGGATTCATCAGATTGGAAAATATCATTTTTACTATCCAACATATAACTTGATTTATAAATTTATTAGCTTTAATTACTTACTCATTTGGAGTCAATAGGTTAGACATTATCATTTTGCACTATCGAATACATAACTCGATTTAGATTAATTTTCTATATACTTTAATTATTTATTCATTTGGAGCAGATTGCATATTATCATTTTGCACCATCCAATATATAAACTGATTTATAAATTTCTTAACTTTAATTACTTATTTATTGGGAATTATCAGGCTGGACATTATCATTTTGCACTTTTCAATATTTAACTTGTTTATATAAATTTCTTACCTTTAATTACATCCTCATTTGGAGTTACCAAGCTAGGCATTATCATTTTTCACTATCAAACATATAATCTGATTTAGATGAATTTTCTATATAAATTTCTGCCTTCAATTACTTACTCATTTGGAGTCATCAGATTAGACATTATTATTTTGCACTATCTATAACTTGATCTAAATTGATTTTTTGCATAAATTTCTTAGCTTTAATTACTTGCTCATTTGGAGTCACCAGATTGAGCATTATCACTATACACCATCCAGCATATAGCTTGAGTTAGGTAGATTTTCTGTATAAAATTTTTAACTTTAATTACGTACTCATTTGGAATCATCAGGCTGTGCATTATCATTTTGCACTATTCAACCTATAGTTTAAGTTAGGTAGATTTTCTATAAAAATTTCGTGGATTTAATTACTTACTTATTTGGTGTTACCAGGTTGACTTTATCATTTTGCACTATCCAACATATTGCTTGAGTTAGGTGAATTTTTTATATAGATTTCTTAACTTTAATTACTTACTCATTTGGAGTCACTAAGTTTGACATTATCATTTTTCACTATCCAATACACAATTTAATTTAGATTAATTCACTATATAAATTTATTAGTTTTAATAACTTACTTGTTTGGAATCATCAAGTTGGACATTATCATTTTTCACTATCCAACACAACTTGATTTAGATGAATTTTCTATATAATTTTTTTTCGGTTTTGATGACTTACTCGTTCCGAGTCACCAAGTTGGGCATTATTATTTTATATTGTTCAATATATAATTTGATTTAGACGAATTTTCTATGTAAATTTATCGGCTTTAAAAACTTACTTGTTTGGAATGCTTTACAATCACCTCATTGAAATATGTAGTAAAAAAATCTTGAAGATTGATATAATATTACCTATAAGTTATACGAATTTACCACTTCCAAATCATCCTTGCTTGTAGAACGAAATGAGATGAATCTTCTTAGAAATAGTTATTAGCAGCCACATTTTCTTGCTTATCAAATTTGACAAGATAATAAAAATAGTGTCAGCATCTGTGCAAGGATGAATAAAATTTGAATTACACATCCCAATACACAGTATTATATAATTACAAACCTATTTTCTAATATATATATATATATATCAAATTTAGGAAGATAATGAAAATATTTTTCATGTTTCTCCATACATGAATAATAAATTAGTCAACAAAAAATTACAAGCTTGGTAATAAAATTATAGCGAATATTGCAAAACCACCATGAAGTTTAATAAGTTATATATAAAAGAAATTAAAATTTAAAGAAGAAAATCTCATAAGTACAGAATATCATACAATTACCACCCTACTAATTATTTTAAAAACCATTTTCATATTTACAACCTTATATTTAATAGGTTTTGATGAAGCTTCTCTATAGAACTATTCCGATTTGGCTCAATTCTTCAACATGGTGAGTTGTCTTTCATAGTACATTATCTTTCTTGACGCTTTCGATGATTGCTCATCTTCTCTAATCTTCTCTACATTGATTCAAAATTAGTTATACTCTATTTGAATCCATAGGGACTTAAATGTGTTTCCATGAGAGATATTTTAGTCAAAATTCTAGGATTATCTAACTAAATTTTTATGTTTGCTTTTTCATTAATCTCGTCATTCTTCCCAATAAATTTACAACAAAATGAAAGGATTTAGGTACTCATGTTTTTAATCGAATATTCTCAGTTGGAATTCATATTTTCTTGAAGGAATCTGTCTTCGAGGGTAGTTTTTTTTTTTTTTTTGGAAAAAACTCAAACCCGAAAGAGATCGGGGTTCCTCACCAGTGTCTGTCATAAGTAATAGTTATGCTGATGAAAAAGCACAATATATTTTATAAAATTTTTGTAAATATAGAACATTGTTTTAATGTTTTTAATTAATTTTTTCAATATGAGATATTATATTAACAACACTCGGTTATTTATAATATACTGAAATATCATATTTTTGATATAAAATATAACACGTTGCATAGTAAATTTATTAAGTACGCATATATATTTTAAGATAACGTGCACTTGTATCCGTATTTGCATAATGCATTATATAGGTAGCAGTTAATAGTGTCAGAACGGAAGATAAAAAGAAAAAGCGTAGTAGAATCTTTGAGAGATATATATATATATATATATATATATATAATCAAGCGCAAAGGGTTTGAAGGAAGAAAATTTATATTAAGAACTAGATGCAATATCATTGAACGATTACAAAATACTTGAACAAATAACATAAAATAAGATGCCTCTTATTTTCTAGAACAAACCCTTACTCATATCAGAAGCTAAAATTCTAAAACCAAATATTATCTAAAGACTAATCCTGAGGCATTTACTGTGTTGGAAAAATTAAAAATTTGTTTTACATAAATAAAAAAAGTTCACTTAGAAGAATCCTTGGCCAAATCAATGATACTTTGGAGGCATCATGTTTGGATTGTTGAATGGAACAATGTTAGAACTGAATCCAGCAGGCTTTGTATCAAAAGGAAGACCTGTTCCACAGGAAGAACTTCCCAGAAAAAATGATGGTTAGGATGATGATGATGAGGATGAGGATGAGGATGATGACTATTTGGGGTACGAATCACAATCTTCTCAGCATGCTTAGCCACATTCTTCTTCATCTCATCGAGAGAGGCCTTCAATTGTTGAATTGTGTTAAGCTCATATCTTCCTTGGGAGCCATCCATCAACATTGATTCTCATTTGTCTTTTTCATATGGTTAAGCTCCTCGCCTCGTTTCTTCCCGATTTCGAGTTGGTTCAGAACCTGTACATGTAGTAGAATTAATATATATTATTTATATTGAAAACGTTTTATTAGAAAGGAAAGAAATTAAAATAACCTGAGTGAGTTGTATGTTGAGCTTACGGACGCTAGCGTTCCGATGAGCCTCAATGAGTTTCATGGTTCCAGAAGTAGCTTGTGGTGGATTACCACTAACAAAACGTTCCAACACAGTCTTGACACAAGGATGACCAAAAGAAAAGACCTTTTGACCAGGTGAGAAGACGATAATAGCAATCTCAGCCCCACATAGAGTGCTCAATTCACTTGCCTTCTTGAAAAGTCCAGCTC